ATTCAACCACCTAACAAATATGGATTCACCCTATTAAAAAGTTTGCTGAGGTCACCCAAGATCCTCTAATTGTCAAATCCAGTAAACATTTTCAGTCTTTCTCCCAGGTCTCTTGGGTGGTATTTAATACTTAGTCTTCACTCTTAAAAATTCTTTGCTTAGTTTTCATGATGCGACCCTCTTGTGACCACTCTAAGTTTCACAATAAATTCTAACGCTTATTTGAAGACTTCACTTTCTCTGCCTGCCTCATGTCCCTGTTTCCCAAGGTTGTGTTGTTAGCCTTCTTCTCATGCTTCATGCCATTCCTAATACTGCCTCCATGTGGCTGACTTCTCAATCTCCAACTCAGATCTGCCTCCTGCAGTCCAGACATCTATCTATTCCTATATTTTCCCCCATAGATTTCAATTCACCATCTGAAACAGACCTTTAGCTTTCCTTCAAGCCTGTTCTTCCTGTATCCCCTCCAAGTTATCAAGCTGCCAAAGTCAGAAACTTGGCTAGCACCCTGGTCTTCACATGTAATTATAATTTAGTCATCAAGTCTTTTCAGTGCTCCATCCTAAGTATCTTCTGAACCTAACTTTTTACCATCTCTCCCTCTTACCACTGACTTAGTAATGACTTCACCTTTTAGACTAGGAGTCAGCCAACTATGGACTGTGGATTAAATCTAGCTTGCTGCCTGGTTTTGCAGAGCCGGTAAACTACGAATGACCTATTATTTTGAAATGATTGGGTGAAAAAAAAAACGTATTTTGTAACATGTGAAACTTAAGACATTGACATTTTAGTGTCCGTAAGTAATGTTTTACTGAAACAACCATGCTTATTTGTTTACATATTGTTTATAACTGCTTTTATACTATAAGGCAGAGAGCTGAATAGTTCAACAGACATTCAAAGCAGAAAATATTTACTATCTGGTCCTTTACAGAAGTTTGATAATCTCTACTCTACCACATACTAGTAAACGAGAAAAATTTTATTTTTGTAGTTTTTCTGCTTACCTTTATACCTGACCAGAACTGCCTTTCTTGGAACTTTGAATGTGGTGATGTTTTGTTTTCAAGAGTGCTAATTTGAAACCAAGAAAGAACAAAACTCAAACTGTTAATCTTACAGAACCAGGGCTTAAAAAACTCCTTTTTTTTAACCAACCAAATTAAACTTTAACACATTAACAGAATGTAAGTAGAGTGCTCTGATATCAAAATTACAGTTACATGTATACTTTGATCCAACAACCCCATTTCTGAGAATGCCTTCTGGCGGTATACTTGCACATGTACCGGTTGGTGGGTCTATAAAATTATTCACAGCACTGTTGGTAATGGCTTTTCACTCCCATGCCCACCAGTTACATTACATTATATGAAGGCAAATTATGCAGCTTAAAACATGAGGAAACTACTCTTGTGGTGATGTGATCTCAAAGATATACGAAGTCAAAATAAGGTACAAGACAATGGTTACAAATGTACCTTCTCTGCTATAGAATGATGGGGTGGGAATAAGATTACAGCATATATAAGTATTTAATTCTAATTACATGATGAAATTATGGAAAGGTAAAAAAATTAACAGTGATTATTATGTGTATGGAAGAGGAAGGGCAAAAACTGGATGGAGGGCAGGAGGGGAGGGAGTAAGACTCCGTTTTAAATATAAATTAAAATATACATACTCCTACTATTCATACTTCTGAACCATATGAATAGATTTCTTATTTAAACATTATACCACAAACTTTAACAGGGCATAATTTTTACATGCAGGTATCTCTTCACAATTAAATCAGCCAGAAAGCTCAGAAGTTCCTTTCTTTTCTCTCCACAGAAGCTCTTCCATCCTGTGAACGCTCACTGGATTGCTTTAGTTCATGATCCAGTACTATAAACTGATGTCTTTTTAGCAAATGTATAAATATGCTTCAGATACTACTTCCTTCATGATACTGTATATAGAACCCTGAAGATTCCAGCAAAACTACTAGAACTGATAAGTGAATTCAGTAGTCACAAGATACAAAATTAATATACAGAAATTTGTTGCATTTCTATACACTAATAATGAAGTAGCAAAAAGAAATTAAGAAAACAATTGTATTTATAACTGTACTGAGAAGAATATAATACCTAGAAATAAACTTAACCAATGAGGTGAAAGACATGTACTCTGCAAACTATAAAACATGGATGAAAGAAACTAAAGACAACATAAAACACACGGAAAGTTAATTCCATTCTTGTGGATTGGCAGATCAAATGCCGTTAAAATGTCCACCCTACCCAAAGCAATCTAAAGATTTAAGGCAATCCCTATCAAAATACCAACTGCATTTTTCACAGAAGTAGAATAATACTAAAATTTGTATGGAACAACAGAAAATTCGAAACAGTCAAACCAATCATGAGAAAGAACAAAACTGGAGGTGTCACAATTCCAGATCTCAAGATACACTACAAAGCTGTAGTCAGAACAGTATGGTACTGGCACAAAAATAGACCCATAGATTAATGGAACGGAATAAAGACCCAGAAATAAACCCATACTTATATGGTCAATTGATTCTACAATAACAAAGGCAAGAACATTCAAAGGAGGAAAAGATAGTTTCTTCAACAAATGGTGCTGGAAAACTGGACCACCTTCTTCTGCCATACAAAAAAACAAACTCAGAATGGATTAAACACCTAAATGTGAGACCTGAAAACTTAAGAATCCTAGAAGAGAGCACAGGTAGTAATTTTTTTTGGCAACAGCCATAGCAACATTTTTCATCTAGGAAAAATATCTCCTCAGCCAAGGAAAACAAAAAAAACCCTACTTGTTTCCTGAAGTAAATCCATAATTCACAGAGTTTCTAGCTTTCTGAGCTGGCACTGTTCTGAGCATGCATTTCATCTTCACAGTGTCTTGTGAAGCAGGCATTAATACCTCACTTTATATACAAAGACACTGATGCACACAAGCCCAAAGTCAAATACCTAGTAAATCTGGGCTCCAGAATTTAACCACTCTGGATTTAACCACTCTGCGATGCCATCTGCCATGTTAACATAAAACAAAACAAAACAAAAAACACACCTAAGTCCAAGTGTGTCAGGTATCATACATGGCATGAAAAATTGAATTATTTTGCTGAAATCCCAATTTGCTCCTTATTAGGTGTATGTATATTTGAGAGAACACTTAATTTTTTTTTAAAGATTTTATTTATTTGACAGAGATCACAGGTAGGCAGAGAGGGAGGCAGACTCCCTACTGAGCAGAGAGCTCGATGCGGGGCTCGATCCCAGGACCCTGGGATCATGACCTGAGCCGAAAGCAGAGGCTTTAACCTACTGAGCCACCCAGGTGCCCCTAGAGAACACTTACTTTCGTTTCTTTTGCACTACATTCTTAAATTTGTGTTACATGATTAGCTATTTCATATAATCTAAAAATCAAAAGCTCTTACCTCTTTGGATACAGAGGAATAAAAACATCATCTTCTATTGCTTTCTTCATTCTCACAACAACGGATTTAAGTAAGTCCTATTATACAAAAATTTAAAAGTATCAGTGATAGCCATAGGTAGAAGGTCATTTACCAAAAGTAGTAATTTTAAAAGCATAGTACAAATTTGTACTATACTGTAACACAGAATCAGGTGTTAAAATCACTATCAGTGAGGTAACAAGAAAACTTTATTCACCCATGTTGGTGCACACAGCTGTAGCTAGTGCATTTGCATTGTTGTAGGGCATATATTCTGTCACATGAATACTAATGATGGGATATCCAGGTGTTTCCAGTTTGGGAGCTATATTACACACAATATTGTATAAAAGTTCTTTTCCATTTAAAATACATCATTTCAAATGCCAGCCTTGACAAATATTTCCATATTGTTTAAATTTGTGTTTCTTAAAAACAGTTCTCTAAAAAGAAATGCTATAAAGGACATTATTGAGTTAAATGTTGGAAGTGGGATATGGATGGTAGATTAAGTATATGAAGTTTACTGAAAATGTAAGTGTCCCATGATTATGTAACAAACATTTTTTTGTTTTCCCCCAGACTTTTTATTCTTAACAAATAAGCAATTTACTCACAAAGTGTTCAGGAGAAACAAACTCTATATATATACAATGGAACAGCAGATAATAAAGCATAATGGAGCAAAATATTAATGACAGGTGAATCTGGGTAAAGGGCCTATGAGTATGCTATTTTTACTCATGAGAATTTTCTGTAATTTGACATTATTTCCAAAAATTTGTTTAAAACAAACTCATATATTTTTAAACTCTGAGCTCATTAACTTTTTCGAGTATTCAAATACATTATTTCATAGGGGGGAAAAAGTTCTCCAAACAGTAAAGTTTTAACGACCACAGACACACATACAAACACACTCCGTATACATTCTTTAAACTAGCTTTGAAAAGACTCTAAAAGCTTTAGCTAGTAGTTTTTACAGTGCTTCAAGTCAATTTCTTTCCTTTTATTTATGCAGTTGAATGTCTGAATACAGGGGTAGGACATAATATATATTCCTTTCACACTGTATACTTTGAGAGTCCATTTTCTCAGTATTTGAAATCCCTTTGAATACTATTCTACTATCTCTAAGTCTATGCAGAATTCCTAGCTTTGTGCCATTGACAAATTTTATTAGCAGGCATTTTACAACTTCATCCAGTTCAATACTGAACAGGGCAAATATTGAGAAGATACCTAATACTAAGGCTTCCCCCAAAGGTAGCCACGTTCCTCTTGGTCCAGTATTCTATAGCCATACTCTTACCAGTTTCTTGTACCTAACTGTACATTGCTAAGCTTCTTTCCCCATTTAATCCACAGGAACAAGTATAACATAAATACACTACCTACTCTACCTGCACAGTACCTTACTCATCAGTGAAAGTAACTGAGATAATATGGGACACTTTGCTTCAGTCACCTGCATTTAGGAACCCTATCAGTGACAGATTATAGTAATTACTACTTTTTTTTTTTTAGGTATTCATAATCTACCTCTGTAATAATCTATTTTAGAATCTTATCAAGAATCAAAACTATTCTCAACCAGGTATTAGCTTATAGAATCATTTGCTGCTTACTTTGAAAACAAGAACTATGCTGTTTGAGTCCATTATTCTAGAATCTTTTTCATTCTCTTCAATTTCTTACACATCACTGAAAAAACAGAGTGATCTTACTGGCAAGGAAAACTGTCTCAGTAGCCAGGAACACTATGTAGTTCAGAGATTCTTATGTACGAGTGACTATGCCACACTCAGGGAGTGTTTTACAGTGTCTGGAGAGATTTCTGGTTGTGGAGACTAGAGAGCACTACTGGCATCTAGTGGTTAGAGGCCAGGGAAGCTGCTAAGCACACTACAGAGCACAGGACAACTTTCCACAGAATTATCTTGCTTCAAATGCCAAGACTGTTGAAGCTGAAAAATCCTGATGCAGTCCAGTCTCCTACTGATTACACAAAGAACCCATTTTCCACATTCATTGTGGGAGGGCTTCCAGAATAAAAATTGCTGGTATAAGAACTTCATGAGTGGATCTGTAACACTTTTGAAAGATTTTAGTTCTTATAAATTACAAAGTGCCAGGTCTACCACTTAAGACCCAAGTGACCTTTTTAAAGATTTTTATTTATTTTGAGAGAGAGAGAGAGTGAGAGAGAGCATGAGAGGGGAGGTCAGAGGGAGAAGCAGACTCCCCATGGAGCCGGGAGCCCAATGTGGGACTTGATCCCAGGACTCTGGGACCATGACCAGAGCCGAAGGCAGTTGCTTAACCAACTGAGCCACCCAGGCGCCCCCCCCCCCCAAGTGACCTTTTACAAGCGATATGGCCCTCTGGGCCCCAGCTTCTTCATCTGTAAAATGGAGTTAAAGTCAACACATTCTACAAGGTTGTGAAGATCAAATGAGACAATGTGAAAGTGTTTAATAAATAGTAAAGCACTATTTATATTTAGGTTACACTTACATAGTCCCATAGAGCAGATATAAGATTCCATATCTACTTCCTTGTGGCTCTTATCTACTGATCCTGATTCAATGCTCTGTAACAACACAGAATAAACCCACTCCTTCTTCAAATAAAGAATCTTTATTTGAAAATTTCACAGTATTTTATCTGGGCTGCACAGGTTGGGGGAGGGGAGGAGAGGCAATGTGGTCAGTGACACGAGCTTAGGCTTTAAGATTAAGGTTCAAATCCTAGTTCTAATTCAAGGTATTACTATGAATCAATTTCTGAGACTGTATCTTCATCTGTAAAATGAAGCTATCACCCATTTTTTAATAGAGCAGCTAGAACTAAGATGACACAGGAACAAGGTCCAAGAGAGTACGAAATACATAGCAGGAATTAAATAATTGTTCCTTGTCTTCCCCCACTTCTCACTTTCTATTTTAAATAACATTATTTTTTCATTTTTAACGTAGACTTCATGCCCAACGTGGGGCTTGAACTCATGACCGAGACCTGAGCAGGGAATAAGGGTTGGAGCTTAACAGAGTCACCCAGGCGCCCCTTAAATAACAATTTATGCACATCTTATTTCCTTTAAGATCACATGTTGCTTGAAGACAGAATTATGCTGGTTTCCCTCTTCTCCCTCTTACTTCTTACAGCTTCCCTCCTTCATAATAACTCCCAGTGCTAAAATTTAATGGTGTTCAGAATATGAATGTGACATGCCTCCTTGCTTCTCAACCACTTTGCTTATTCTACTCTGGACGCTCTCCAGACTGTCCATCTCTCTCAATTTCCTTAAAGCTCAACATATATTTGATTTACTGATTTAGCTGTATGAATATGTGACATTCTCATCAAAAAACAGAATGATAAAAAGGAGTACCACAATAAAATAAGATTTAACACATTCTCACCAAAGCCTCTAAAAGGTCTCTCCTTAGGTCTTATGTTGAACAAAACTCAATTCTAAATAATGGTAAGATGAAAGTCTATCCTACTAAACTTTTTTTTTTAAGGATTTTTTTTTTTTTAATTTTAAGTATAAACTACACCCAAAATATAGGGCTTGAACTCGGGCTCCAAGATCAAGACTCACAAGCTCTACTGACTGAGCCAGCCAGGTGCTCCATATTCACTGAACTTTTGGAATCCTTAAAGAGATAACTGCTCTTAACTTTGGCCGATTACAAGTAACTAGTTAATATAATGAATGTTAACCTAATTTTAAAATTATTATTAAAGTGAAGCCATAATACCAGATTATTGCTGAAAAAAAAAAGTAAATAATTATTTTTCCCTCTTAGAAGGAACAAATTTGCACTAATGCATTTATGCCTGTTCATCTCTGCAGGTCCAAAGTATAATCACAAACCTGAAAAATGGCTGGCTGGACCATGGGAACAAAAATCAGACCACTGAACAGAGAGGAATAAACTAATAATATAATAATCTGGGTCTTATTACATGTATGTGTATCCTATAATTAATAATGACTGTCATCCCTGTTAAAGTGTTCATAAATATGAAGGTATATTCTTTCATCTTATTATCAAAAAGAAGAAAAGTAAATCTATTTCTCCCCAAATTGTTATTTGGTAATTACTTCATTTGCATCTTCTGTAAACAAAGATTTAGAACAAAATTAATCTATAAATAAATCAAGATGTTTATTAACTCTAGAAATTATTACCTGTTTGCCTTTACTAACTTCATTTGCACAAGTGGAAAGTTCTTCAAGAATCACTCTGCAGTGTGTTATTAAACTTGTTGTCTGTGAGGTCGACAAGGGATCCCAAATGAATTCTACAAAGTCTGAAACAAAAGTTTCAGTAGTGTACAATTTATTTACTAGATTGCTTTGCTTTTCATGTATAAACAGCTGAGGCCTTTAGCAAAGACTCCCATCCTATGCAATTTAAAATCCATGCCAATCATTACCATTATGTATTTGCATACATCCTCAATTTCCTTGTCCTTTTGGGCTCTGTTAAACTTTTTTTTTTTTTTTTTTAAAGATTTTATTTATTTGACAGACAGAGATCACAAGTAGGCAGAGAGGCAGGCAGAGAGAGAGGGAAGCAGGCCCCCCGCCGAGCAGAGAGCCCGATGCGGGGCTCGATCCCAGGACCCTGAGATCATGACCCGAGCCGAAGGCAGAGGCTTAACCCACTGAGCCACCCAGGCACCTCCCCCCATGTCATTTTTAAAAAAAAGATCTTTATTTTGAGAGAAAGAGATAAAATCTCAAGCAGACTCCATAATGAGTGTGGAGCCCGATGTAGGCCTCGATCCCACGACCCTGAGATTATGTCCTGAGCTGAAACCAAAGTCAGAGGCTTAACCGACTGAGCCACCCAAGTGCCCCAGCTCTTGTCATCTTGTTAACCTCCTTCTGTTCTCTGCCCATCCTCACACCACTATAGCCACAATGACTTATGTGCTATTTTTCAAGGAAATCAGGCTGGCTCCTACCTCAGGTCCTTTGCATTTGCTGTTCCCACTGTCATGGATTCTGTTTCCCCAGATATTCTTACGGCGCACTTCTTCCTTTCAGAATCTACTCAATTGTGAACTTCTTAGGAAGGCCTTCTTTAGTCAATCTTTTTTAAATTGCACTCCTCTTTGATAATTTATATCCCTTTCTCTTACTTTTTCATCTCAGCCCTCATAACTAACATTTTCTAGATTTTGTTATCTGTCTTTTTTGCAGAATGTAAGCTCCAGGAGGAAAGGGATTATTATTTTGTTCACTAATGTATGTGCTGAGTCATTAACAGTGCCCGATACCAGGCAGACCTTGTAAAATATAAGTTAAATAATAGAAAAAATGAAATAGGTAAAAAGAAAAAAAAAAAGACAAAAATAAAAGAGTGACTTCTCAAGCATCTAGACTTCTTCTTTTTAAAAAATATTTTATTCAATTATTTGACAGAGAGAGTGCATGAGAACACAAGCAGGGGGAGCTACAGAAGGAGGGAGAAGCAGGCTCCCTACTCAGCAGGGAGCTCGATGTATAGCTTGATCCCAGGAACCCAGGATCATGACGTGAGCTGAAGGCAGACGCTTAACTGACTGAGCCACCCAGAAGCCCCTAGAAGTTTAGGTTTCTAATAACCTTAAAAATATTTGGTCAACTAATACTGAGAGCCTACTATGTGCCTAGTGTTCAGTACAAGAGGCACAGCAATGAATAAGATTAGGTAGGTAGCGGCCTTTGAACAACTTTGTCTAATGGCAAATACATTTACATAAACAATTATAATTCAATGTGTTAGTGTTACCGTAAGTATGAGTTCAGAATGCTACAGGAACCCAGAGAGGTATGTGTAAACCAGTTCCTAAAAGTGATGTCTATACTGAGTCCTGAAAGATGAAGAGGAATTAGCCAGGAGGAAGAGGTGGGGCTGGGAGGTTTGCCAAATGGATAGAACATAGAAGATACAAAGGCCTAGGAAGAATATAGCTAAAATGTAGTAGAGGAAAGGATGAGGAAAAGAAGGAATAGAGCTTAGCAAGAGATGGGGCTAGAGAATTACTAAGCAGAGATGTGATTCTGAAAGGCCAAGAAAGCCATGTTAAAGAGTTGAAGCTTCATCGCAAGGGGGAGTTAAGAATGATTAAAGTGTTTTAAGTGAGTTATGACAGAACCAGACTCACATTTTAGACTCACAAATTACATTGGCTATAATACAGAAAACAGATTAGAAAATGGCTGGGGGGACCCAAACCAGATGTGGCTATTGCTTATATAAGGAAGCAAGAAAAAGGAAAGAGTGAGTAACTTGAAAATTCTGGTTTGAATACATGGGTAGATGGAGATGCCGTTTTCTCGACAAGGAACACAAGAGGAGTATATCTGCAGCAAAGAAGGTAAGTATGACTTCACATGTGCACTGCGAGTGACTGCTGGACATCCAAGTAGATATACTTCGAAGGTACTTTGATAAGAGAGATCTGGACTTCCTCCAGTTCTTTTGGATTTAAAATTGCATAGAGCAGCGCTATATGAAGCAACTTTCTGAATGATGAAAAAAACATTTTATATCTGTAATTTAGATAGCTATGAGCTACATATATATAATTATTAAGTATTTAAAATGTCATTAATGTAACCAAGCAAGTAAATTTTAATTTTACCTAGTTGAAAATTTTAATAATCACATTTAGTTACTGGTTACCACACAGAACAGCACTGATACAGATGTCACTAAAGGAGTGCATGAGATTACCCATGGGGCTCATGAAGAGTACAAGAGGATCCAGGACAGAGCTCAAGAATAAATATATAATATTAAGTTCTCATAATTCTACTTATTTGAGGGACTGTTTAATTTTAAGTGATGTATTTGGAGGTTTTTTGTTTTTTTTTTTTTAAAGATTTTATTTATTTATTTGACAGACAAAGATCACAAGTAGGCAGAGAGGCAGGCAGAGAGAGAGGAGGAGGCAGGGTCCCTGCTGAGGACCCTGGGATCATGACCTGAGCCGGAGGCAGAGGCTTAACCCACTGAGCCACCCAGGCGCCCCTGTATTTGGAGTTTTAAAAGAGTATATATATGAGGCATACATAGTCTGTGCTACCATTAACAGAGCTAGGTAAAAGTAGTAACTTTCTAATACAACCATGACTATACTGCAAGATACACGGAGGAAAATCTTTAAAGTTAGCCAAATTGGCTAAGAAGCAATACAAAAGTAGTTGTTTCACTTTTTAAGAATTCTGCAGCCTTTGCTATCCGAATCTATTCTTAGGGACATGGTGAAACAGTTCCTTATCAAGTACAATTTCAGATGAAAGAAATCTTCAGACTGAAGCAAACAAGCATCAATGCTAAGTGCAGATGTGAGGGAGTAGTAAGGTTTTTTAAAGAAATAAAAAGAAATGGGGTGAAGTCAAGGGAAAGGAAGAAATCCTACTGTAGTAGGAATGAAAGTATATCACTAATAAATGACTCAGATGTTATACAAGTAACACTAATGTCATAAATGCTAAAGGCTGA